TTTGACAGAAAACAAACTTTGCCTATAAAATTCCTGTTATACCTTTCAAACATACCAAATTATCTGGGTTGAAAGGCATCCAAAACTACCATTTGACTACCACACACATCATGTACACAAAATCACTTAAATACTGGTAGAATATATATATATATATATATATATATTGTCTTCACTTGGTAAGAGGCCACTAAATAAAGTAAAATCGGAGATTACAAATGGGGACTAAGGTCTGCAACTTAAACTCGAGTCACGTTGCACAAACAAAGATTTCAGACTTGACTTGTGCTTTGAAGACTCGAGACTTGACAAGGACTCTAGTGCCCCTTCTCCACTGGCTCTATTTAGCCCGACTCCACTCAGTGCAATTTACGAGCATTTCTATAACAGTTTTTTTCCATATCGCTACCTACTTTTTGGGACTGAGTAAGGACTACATGTGACGTGAATAGACTGCTGCTCACTGATTGGCCATGGGACCAAAGACGTTTCAAAGAGGTAGTGCAGGAAAAAGAGCGACTGCAACATTATTGAGGACCACAATGGCTGGAGCGGGTGAAACTGAAATATAATTTTACTATTTACAAATGATAAACCATGCCTGAAGGCTGAAAGACAAGAAAAAAGACACCATGGCAGCTTTCCTAAATTGCAAGCAGGTAGGGGCCGCTGTATTTAATAACATCCTAAACCACCTGATCGTACATAAAATCAGCTGTTCAGACGCACATACATTTACCCCAAAACACAAAATACTACCATGAAACAGTGGGTTTGGTTCGGAAATGTTTCGACGGTCCTTAAGCGAACCAGCATCTGAAGGAGGAGGGAGCAGGCAGAGAGCTACTTTCTGTAATCAGACTGCTTGCATCTGGTAAATTGGGAGGAAGAGAGCTCTGAATCCGCAGAGCGCAAATATCCAATATCCAACCTAAAACTAACTTCACCGTGGTCAGAAGTCCACAGTTTTGGGCTTTAAAGTCCTTGTCCTCGTGGCTGAGACAAAAACTCCCCTATAAATCCCCAAAATTTTTACTTCTTCAGGAAAACCTTGGAGCTTTACCAGTCCAGACAGCGGCACCTCTCCTCTTTGCTTCTCCTGCCACACCCCTCTCACATCAGAACCCCTGAGTCTTATGTTAAGTTCTTCCTGGGCTGTGTTCCAGATAATTATCCCAGTGAATCATTTTATACATGGAAAAAACATATATAAGAAAGTATTGCATATATAATAATACAAACAATATTTGTATTTAATTTATTTATGTTTTTCATTTTATGTTTATTTTTTATAGTTTCACACAGATTACTTTAATGTGACAATGTCATACAGTAACGTTAATAGCGGCACAGCACACTACACTGACGGTTGGAGGCAGGGCTTCAAGCCATGGCTCCAGCCATTAGCAGATCAATGGAAACACAACAGGTACCGTGCCTATTATAGTAAGAAGGAGTGGAACCAGTGGAAAAGGGGCATAGGTCTTAAATTCAAATCTCATGAACAATTGTTATGTTATGTAATCAGTAGTGATAGTAAGTAGATAAGTTTAGATCATTTGCGTAACATAAGGTTGCCCCCTCTGATTTACTGTGGTGAACAGAAAAGAATGATTCTCAAAGTAATGTAACACACGCTATGCATGGGTTTCCTGTAATAGATTTTGGTATTACTTGCCGGTAAGAGTTAAGGTTGCTTACAGGTTAAATTTTTATTAAATTCTGCCATCGCAGCATTTACAGCAAGTAAACCACAGACCGTAGCTCTGGCAGGGATGAGAATACTCTCTTGTTAAAGGGTGCGTTTCTAAATAGGGACTTTTGCTGACTGTGACTGGTCATGGTTCATAACAACCTGTTTGGGTTTGTTGTAGTGCCATAATAATGACCACAGACATTTCTTTCAAACTAAACTCTGTGTTAAATTATTTTAGTCCAAATAAGATAAATGTTTCTCTGACAAGTCATTCTTTTGCTGTTAAGCTACCGTAAACACAAAGACACTTCTGGTTCTTCAAAATAAAATACATCCTGTAACAACAAGATAGGCCCTGGAACATGCTTATTGATTAGACTTGATTAGCATTTTAATGAAGATTTACTACATAGTTTCCAAATAATTTTGCAAATCCTCTCACACAAAAGAAAGAGTAAGAAAAGCCTCTAGATCTTGTATAATGCTATGCATAGATAATAAGTGGATGATATGAAGACAGGTTTCACCTCTGCCAATGCAAAGACAAAGAAAATGGGTATTTAACTGGTCTTAATGTAATTGTACTGGTTTTCTTTAAGTCGAAATGCAAATTCATATTTATAGTGAGGTAAATATAATACATTATGATTTCTAAAAATCATTCCCTGCAGGTAATAACAGTTTTTACATTTTGAACAGAATGAAAAAGATAAAGATAATAAATGTTCAAGTGTTAAATTTGACTAAAAGATAACTATCTGACATCACACCTACAGCAATTCTGGGTTTTAGGCAGACTGGACTGCATGCATCAGATGTAAATTTTTGTCATTAGAGAAGTGACACTTGACTTCTATTAAACCCTCAAATATGTGGAACTTGACTTGCTCTTCAGAGACTTTGTACTCCACTTAGACTTGACCCTCAAAGACTTGGGACTCGCCTTGGACTTGGAAAATTTACTTGTGAACATCTCTGATAGAGCTCTATCGAGCTATAAAACAGTCAGAAACAAAAATGCTGTAAAAAATACAGGAAAATCCAGACATGATTTTATACTAAACACTGCACTGAGACACTTCTACAGATCAGCAGCAAGGCAGTTGCACCAGCGTCAACTGCTATCTCTTGTCGTCTTAACAGATTATGTAAAAAAGCCCATTATGGTGAGGAACAAAGAGGATAGGCCCCATGTTAGAGCAAACCCCTCACTGATGTCCCATTGACTTGGCCAGCCACTCTCCCAAGGCCTACTCCTTGATTAAATGCATAATCCAATACTCCCCATCCCCAATGATTTAGTGTGCCTTTAAATCAGCTTGCACACACATAAAACCCTCAAATAAAAATCACCAAGAAAAACCATTGCACTCTAACTGTTCTATTAAAAATGATACCCAGCCCAGCCTTTCTTCTTTGCAATTGCGTTTATTCCACATGAATGCGTATCTTCATTTTTTTCATAGGTATGCATATAAAATATTTAAAGTTTAAAATGTCACAGCTGAACATCAAATGCAGAAGTCTCTCATTAATCAGCATGGATTGAGGTTCTCTTTTAAGGTTATAACCCTTTGAAAGAGCAAAAATTACATTTTTGACCTTGAAGATGAGACAAACTCATAAACGTAAAATAATTTGCAGTTTAAAGGGGAAAGAGATATCAGTTACCTCTGCCAGCGGTGCGCTGGTTGTCGGGGTAAGACCAAACAAGTCTCATTTTCATATTTATATCCAAGCTGTTGAGATTAATTTCAAATCACATCAAGAAAAAAACGTAACAAAACTTTGAGAAAACATCAAAAGGGGCAACTGTCTAAGTTTCAAACCCACAGAGCCTTAGCTATCTCTAACGGGTGAAGCACAGGTGTTTTTTTTTCTTGCAGTTTTATTAAACGGAGCATGACATTTTCATTACTCAAGGAAATTAAATTAACTAATTTCTTACAAGCTCTATACGCACGATATTTTAGGGAGGTGCTCGGAGGAGAGCAATCGTTTTACCTCCTACGCAACAAAAATGCAAACATGGTGCTGTCTCAGTATTAAAGTAATTTTTAGTATTAAAGTTTGCTTTTTACAGATTTAATTTTAATATTTTTTAACTGCACTTTTGATAACATGCATAAATGCTGACTGAAGTTAATCTACCAAAAACAAGAAGTGCATTAGCAAAGTCATACAAAACATTCATTTTACATAATATGTTCACTTTTCTGCAGTACTATGGTACTGAAAGAAGAGGGAATAGGCATGTTCTGGTATGATATCTTGAGTAAAACTACCCCTGTTTTATGGAATTAACAGAAATGTAAAACAAAAATGTACACCGTGATTTAAAAGCACAAATAATGAAAATAATAAAATATGTATTATTACTGTTATAAAAACATCTATACCATATTACTATTATTCTGACATAGACTAGCTTTAAGTAAAATTTGTTTATTGCATAACATGGGCATGAGTTGATCATGATTATGAAGGTATACAAGAGTTTTAAAAAGTTGTGGTTTTAAATCCACAAAAACTTTAAAGTCCTTTGAATAAGAGAAGGTTCCAGGGTGACCAGAATTTTCACCAGCTGTTTGGAGCAGATTCACATCTCGCTGCACCTCTTTACCTGTCTTGGCACCACTACCTTTCAGTCCTAAACATTTCTTTTGTTTGCATAGAAGAATATTGGCTGGTTGGAAAGTTGTGACATGGAAACTAAAGGAGTGCTGCCATACTTTTCCTAAGGTAATGCTTTTTTTAAAGTACAGTTCACATTCTCAGAGGCTGGAACACCTTGTTTGTAAAGCAACAGAATGCAGGCTAGCTAAGTGAGCCAGCAGCCCAGCTAATTAATCCCATAAAATAAGCCTGCTAGACTCCCAGTAATATTCTATAAAGTGTAAAATAGCAAGAAGTGGTTATATTCTGCAAATAAGCAAATTCAAATAAAAACATATACAAACTCTGCAGGTGTTTTGTGTATTTTGCTGGAGTCTGCCACCGCTCTGTTTAGCTGTAGAAATATTACAATTATGATTTTAAAAAAAAGTTCTATCTTTTATTACGACTTGCTGTTGTAGCTGAAAATGATTTTTAATGTGTTCTCACTAATGACTGAAGTAAAAAAGAAAAAGAAACTGATATATTTTTCTAAAAACTTTTCTATCGCTTAAATGTTGTAGATAACCCTAAAGCGCTTTGAGTGGTCTGTATGACTGGAAAAGCGCTAAATAAGTTCATTCCATTTATCACGTGATTAATTGTTGCTTTTTTGGTTTAAAACAAAAGAATATACCTAATTTCACGAGGCAACTATGGCTCTGTGGGAAGAGTAGCTGTCTCGCAATCTGACAGTTGTTGGTTCAATTCCAACTGCCATATGTCGATATCTCTTACCAGTCTGCGCAGCGGTGTATAAATGTGTGTGCATTTGTTTGAGTTGTGGTAATAGTGTAACGTGATTGGTAAGACTGTCAAAGTGCTATAGTAATTTAAGTCCATTTACCTTTAAGTTTTGGTGTTCATGCTATTGAAGCAGTGGCATTTTTACTCAAGATAATCACACCATCAGAATGTCATATCATTCAAAGCCTAGGGTACATTATTATACTTTTTGTGCAGTTCTGCTCTTTATAGAGTAACTACGTCAATTGTGAAAATGAAACTTTTTTTTAATGTCTCCGTAATGTGGATTTGAACCTAATGCTTTTATGTTAATTAGATTGAATCAGAAATAAATGTGTAATTATACAGTAACTTAGAATGGCATCACACTATATGCTTTATGAAAATTTGAAGTAAAAAAATCACACCAAAATGTACTAAGCTGGGTTTAGGGAAATGCACCTGCACTAGTATACAGTGAAATATTCAGTCTAAGAGCTGAGGAAAATATGGAGTCAGCCAGGATCTCCACATTGCTCCTCCTCTGGAGATGAAAAGGCTGATTACCTTCACCTCTCAAGGGTGTAAGCCACATGCTTGACAACATCATTGGAAAATAGACTACTGAGCTCCTTTGGGCCCTATAACAGCTCACATTAATGTAGGGGGAAGCGAATTACAATGAAAGAAGTTGAGACCACAACCATACTCTCGCATCACTGAATCCAGTATCAGGGAAGGAAATCAAAAAATGCTCTTGCTATGAAAAAAGGATTTTAAGAACAAGGCACATAGTAAATTTAATAAACTGCTTAAGGATTTATCAACTTATGTAGAAGCTCTAAAGCAATCCGAGTGCATTGTTAACTTTTCTAACACTTACAAAATTTGTGAAAGCCTAAAAAATCTTTCTCTGTTCTAAACACAGTAGTTGCAGATCAGCCCTGGTATGAAAGAGCATAAACAAGTCGAAGCTATAACAATGTTTTAAACAAACCATTAATTGTTATTTATGTCCTCCACATAGTTTTAGTCACAAGTTTAGGGTGCCGCTGGAAAAAGATGGCAATTCAGAAATGATCCCAGTAATCCTTTGATGAATAAGCTGGAAGCCTCTGTGTGACCTCTGTGTTCGTCAACAGAAACCACAATTTAGAGGCTGCCTGAACTCCATTTCAGAGGTTATGGAATTAACTTAAAATTACTTACAATGCTATTAAAATGCTGAAATCTTTTGTTGTGGCTGTAAATTAATTGAAAACCTCAGCGATTTGAAATATTCTGATACGCTGTCGGGGAGGGGGGATCAAAAGAATGGTAGAAGTGGGGCTTTCTCAATGCTTTTTGGCTTGGCCTACGCATGTCATAAATGATGAGAAATAGAAATTGAGTTTAACTGGAAACATATGGTATTTCACTGAAGAGGAAGCCTTCATAAGAGGATCATGGCGATGTAATAAAAGGAGACAGGAAGAGGGCATGTGTGGCGGTTTGGGTGGATGTAGAGTTTTTCTAAGACGAGACAGAGCCAAAAGTCTTATTTTTAAACCTGTAGTGGCTCACTTAAACTCCCTTGATCAGGGCAGAACACTTAAATATAGACAGATAAATGAGACTGACATAGAGCCATCAAAAGTCAAACCAAGGCAAAAGGGAGGTTCTTACAGTTTTAAATTCTATGTTGGTAATCCTCAGATTTTACAAATTTTCTGTAGTCATCAGCCAAGAGATGGGGAACAACCATAGAAAGGTCACTGGTTCATCACGAGGCCAACATAAACACACATGCAAACAACCATGCACTCCCAAACATGCACCTAATAGTAATTTGGAGTGACTGATAAAAACATGGATATTTTGCTTTTACTGTGGAAGGTAACCAGATTATCCAGGGAAAACCATTAAGAACTACCTATTGATTTTCAAAACATTTAAAAATTAAAAGAAAAAAAGAAAAACTATTTTTTTTACCTGATTAACTTTAAAAACTGATAAACAAATTCATTTGATTTATTTCCACTAAAAAGGTCATTTTTACTAAAAACAAATATCTGTCTCTGTTTTATGTTTGTGTCCATCAGACACAGTGGATCCAGATTACACGTTACCATCCACATATGGTGCTCACTTCCTGTTTTTAAGAGGTACTGCTACAAAGATTATTGCTATCAAGAACTGCTTTTATAATTACTTTTATAAAAATTATGTTCAATAAAAAACAATGGAAGGTCTGATTATGATTTATGTTTCATTTTCAGTATTCAAAGGTTTTCCACATTCATGAGCTTGATAGCTCTAAAATATAAGAGCTTTTGCCCTTTAAACATTGTGTTATAAAACTGCAATATGAAATATTTTTCCACTTTTTACCTCTTTTTGACTATTTATATAGATCATTTAAAAATAGACATACTGTTATGATTTGGGGTTTTTTGGTTTCAGATTTTTTCCTTATATGTTTTTCACTGCTCAAGTTTTGAATCATGCTTTTGTTTATTATTTTTCTGGTCAAGTTTTGGTTGTATATTAGAGTCTGTGTTTTTGCCGCAGCCACGTTTTGTTCTGTCTGTCAATTAAGTTTATTCGGTTCACCTGCACCATGTTAATCAGTTTTGTTTTCCACCTGTACCATGCTCCATATATACACACCTGTTCAGTTAGTCGTCGCGGAAACATTTCTCATGATCTTGTCTTGTTCTCAAACCAAGTCTTGTTTTTTTTTTGTTTTTTTATCATGCCATGCCTGTCTTGCCTGCCCGTTTGTTTTGTTCCTGCTTCCTGCTGAGTGTGAGTTTTGGTTATTAAACCTTTTTTTGTACTTACCATCACGATGCCTGCTCGTCTGCATTCTGGGGTCCAATATCAAGTAAACCATAACAGAATGTTTCCGCCAACAATGGACCTCGCAGATGAGCACCAGGCTAGCTCCATGGACCTCTTTACTTTCCTGTCTCGGGAGGCCGAGAAGTCACTACGCCGTTCTGCAGGGCTGTCAGTGCCGCAGGCGGCTTATGATGGATCCAGGTTGGCGATTCCATGTCCGGGAACAGGTCCCCTTCGTCACCGTTCTCCGCATGCTCCCCTGGCTGCGCATTTAAGCCCGGCAGTGAAGCCCTCGCCCTCCTCCCGCCGCAAGAAACGCCGGCGTGGAGCACCTTCCTGTGGTTCGGCTGGTGAGGAGGTGGTTTCCCAGCCAGCCTACGTGAGGGCTGCGGCAAGTAAGCCCGCATCTTCGCCTGCCACAGCACTGTCACCCAGGCTCGCTGCGGCAAGTAAACCTGCATCTTCGTCTGCCACAGCACTGTCTCCCAGGCTCGCTGCACCTCCACCCATGCCGTCTGCGCTCGCTCCAGCCCGGTGTTCTGAGGCAACACCTGTCGAGCTGGAGCAGCGCTTGAGGTTCTATGCACGCCAAATAAAGAGCCTCAGAACGACTGGTCTCTTGTATTCCTCTCCTGAGCTGATGGAGAGGATAAGGCAGATAGAGATGGATTATGAAACCGCAAGTCAGGTCTCCAGAGCGCTGCTGAAGAGCAGCCCAAGTCAGGTCTCCAGAGCGCTGCTGAAGAGCAGCCTGACTCCAGGGCTGACACACCACAGCCTGACACGACGCCTGACACTAAGTCAGCCTCTGCTCACGTCACTGAGGGTCAGGCCGACGCCTCAGCTCCTGCTCACCTCACTGAGGGTCAGGCCGACGCCTCAGCTCCTGCTCACGTCACTGAGGGTCTCGGTGACGCCTCAGCTCCTGCCCACGTCACTGAGGATCCCGTCGACGCCTCTGCTCACGTCACTGAGGGTCCGGCTGACGCCTCAGCTTCTGCTCACACCACTGAGGGTCTGGCTGAAACCTCAGCCTCTGCTTCAGCCTCTGAGGGTTCACCAGGCTCTGCTTCTGCCTCTGAGGGTTCGCCAGGCTCCACGCCCCTTGGGTTCCACAGAGTTTTTGGGGGGGCCTCTACTCTCCTCTGTCGGCCTCCTGACCTACCTGCAGGTTCCCGTCGCAGGCCGCCATGGCTTCGCCGCCAACCGCCCGGAACTCTGTGGTGCAGGTCCGGTCGCCCACCGGAACTCTATGCCTGCTGGGGACGACCTCCTGGTCGCCCGCCTGAACTCTGTGCCTGCTGGGGACGACCTCCTGGTCGCCCGCCTGAACTCTGTTCTTGTTTCTGGCCCTCCTGCCGAGGCCCCCTCCACCCACTGTGTGGGTTGTTTTTTGTATATTAGAGTCTGTGTTTTTGCCGCAGCCACGTTTTGTTCTGTCTGTCAATTAAGTTTATTCGGTTCACCTGCACCATGTTAATCAGTTTTGTTTTCCACCTGTACCATGCTCCATATATACACACCTGTTCAGTTAGTCGTCGCGGAAACATTTCTCATGATCTTGTCTTGTTCTCAAACCAAGTCTTGTTTTTTTTTTTTTTTGTTTTTTTTTATCATGCCATGCCTGTCTTGCCTGCCCATTTGTTTTGGTCCTGCCTCCTGCTGAGTGTGAGTTTTTGTTATTAAACCTTTTTTTTCACTTACCATCACGCTGCCTGCTCATCTGCATTCTGGGGTCCTATATCAAGTAAACCATAACACATACATAACAACAATACATTGTTGTGATTATGATTATATTGTTTAATATTTAATATTATTATTTTTATACTCATACTCGTCATCTTCCGCTTTATCTGGGACCGGGTCGCGGGGGCAGCAGAGACGCCCAAACGTCCCTCTCCCCAGACACCTCCTCCAGCTCCTCCAGAGGGAGCCCAAGGCGTTCCCAGGCCAGCCGAGAGACATAGTCCCTCCAGCGTGTCCTGGGCCATCCCCTGGGCCTCCTCCCGGTGGGACCTGCCTGGAACACCTCCTGAGGGTGGCGTCCAGGAGGCATCGGATATAGATGCCCAAGCCACGTCAACTGGCTCCTCTCGATGTGGAGGAGCAGCGGCTCTAATCCGAGCTCCTCACCCTATCTCTAAGGAAGTGCCCGGCAACCCAACAGAGGAAGCT